CAAGGAGAAAGACAGAGAAAACTACTCAGAACTCATGGGGAAAGCACAACACAACTTGGAATTCATATATAAAATCAAAGCCATACAAACTATAACAAGTAAATAACTTATCTCTAAATTTCTCCCCAAGAACACTCCTCGAAGTTCCTCTGAATCCCTCCTTTCTTTACAGCACATAGAATTCCTCTTCAAAGTAGCAAGGAGGAAGAAATATCTCACTTTCCCTCAACTCTTACAATCTCTCAAAGAATTCCTCACAATATTTACACACTATTAGAACCTTTCGATAGCTTTCAAGCTTTCAAAAGTCTCCAAAAGTCTCCCCCCTCTCTTCTTTCGGCCAAAATATTCTCTTTAAAGATGTGGATGAGTTTTCCCAAGAGTCGCTTACGCACCCCTCCAAAATCTGGCCTTATCCATTGTACATGTCACATAACCATCGATCCCACCGTCGGCGGCCTTCTGGAGAATTTGTCTTATAGCCTTTGGAAAAGCTTGTCAGCGGCGGCAGCCTCAGGAAAATCTCGCTGTCGGCGGCCTCGATGGCGCCGTCGGCGCCCTAGTGCAATTCTCCACATTTTGGTCCTTTTTGCTCCAAATTCGCTCCTTTTTGCATCTTTTTTGCTCCATTGACCGTAATTCATCATTCATGCAACAAAAAATCAAAAATACCTTTCTTTAAAGTACAATATCATTAAAAATAGTATAAAAGAGGTATGAAAATCACGCCAATGTCGGTGCTGGGTGAATTCCTAGAAGATTCGATGAATTTGAACACTTTTTGAAGAGTTATTGGATACACCTCTTGGAAAACCGACATTATGCTTTATTTAGAGCGAAAACTGATCAGAAAAAGGGGGGCTGGTGTGTCATTGAGTTTTCTTGAGTGTTCCATTGTGTGTATTGTTTAGTCTGGTGAGTCTAAGTGTGATTTCTCCTAAGAGTTGTTAGAGAGGGAGAGAAGTGAGAGATTTCTTCGTCCCTACATCTTTAAAGAAAAAATCAAGAATCTTGTGAAGAGAGAAAGAGTCCAAAAGAGGCTACAAGGGATTTGTTTTGAGGAAGAGTTAAAGATAAGTAGTGTTTGTTCATTATTGTTGTATAAACTTTCTTTTATTTTTGAAATTCGTATTTTGTCGTATTTTCCTCATGAGGTTTAAGTACTTTTCTTTGTCTTTCTCCCTACTCTGAGATATGTTGAAATGAAGATATAATTTAGATGTGCCAATTTAATAATATAAAATAAATTATGATGATTTTTCACTCTGCTCTTAATTTATTTTTCGATTTGGTCAATTTTAATGTTAACATCTGTTATGAAACATATTATCCGAGAAATGGAGTATGCGTTTTACAACAAAGTGAGAATCACATTAGATTCCACGAAGGAGTGTTTCGTTCATGGAATTGTGTGTAAATAAATAGGAAAATATATATTATTGGGCGAATAATTGGAGATTCTAGGGTGACAGACTAAAATCTCCAATTTGGTCTTAGTGTTTAAGAATTAAAGCGAGAGTTAGCCTTCAGGGGAAGGGAAGTGGGAGCTGTGGAGTGAGAGCCAGTATTCTCCTAGCCTAACCATGAATTTAGAGACTAAATCTGAGATTAGCCAACGATTCTCTATAACACTTCACTAAGGGTAGAGAATTAAAATTGCTCATATTTGGCACAGTACAAATTCAAACCATCTATCTCTCTCATTTAACCAAAAACACATTGTAGTAGGAATGATGCTTTCTCATATTAGATAACTTCATCACAAAAACATAATTTGGTAGTTATTGTCTAGTTCGCTTTATAGTTTTGCTAGTGGTTGATAATTTAGTTCTGATAGCATCTTAAATATTGAGAATTAATGTAATAGATTTTCTTTATTGTTGTGAATTTCCTAATTTAAATTTCATTTCAAAATTTAAACCTTCCTCGTGGGATCGATACTTGGGGCTTAAACAAAAAGTCTTGTATTACTTGATAACGATACGTTTACTTGCATAGAATCCCAACATAAATTGCTTTAAATTCTTATTCATAAAATAACGAACCAGGTTTTTGGCATCGCTGCAAGTCTTAATAATGTATATGCCATATTGTATTGTGACACAACTATAATTTCGGGGATCAAGTTTTTGGTGCCATTGCCGGGTAACAGTAAATTTAATAGATTTGTTATAATGGTAAATTAAATAGATTTGGTAAATTAGGAAAATTAACAATAAAATAAAATAAAGAAATAAAAAAAATAAAAAATCATAAAAAATATCATCAAATATTATTTCTGAAATTTAAGAGTACTTTTAAGAAAAAAATTTTTTGCTTATTATATTCGTTTTTGTGTATTATTGGATCTCAAGGTTTAGTACCTTACGATTCAGAATTAGAATATACTATTAAAAAAGTTCGAAAACAACAAAAAAAATTAGCCATTTGAATGAAATTGCGAATAACTTAGATAATCAAATAAATGAAAATCGACAAAGACCTTTAAAAGATTATGTTAATCTTACAGCAGATAAATTTCACATGACTATTCAAAATCCTGATGTTGTTGCTAATTCATTTAATTTTAAATCTGCTATTATCCAAATGGTACAAAATAATCAGTTTGGAGGAACACCTACTAAAGATCATAACTTACATCTTGCTAGTTTTCCTGAAATCTGTGCTACTATTGAATATGATGAAGTGTCTAATGATGCTGTCAGTTTTAAACTTTTTCCTTTTTCATTAAGGGATAAAGCTAAAGCTTGGTTAAATTCATTAGCACCTGGAACTATCAAAACTTAGGATAACTATCACAAAAATTTTTAGCTAAATATTTTCCACCCTCGAAAATTATTAAGCTTAGAAACGATATTACATCTTTTTATCAGTTCGAAGGGAAATCAATTTATGAAGCCTGGGAAAGATTTAAAGATCTTCTTAGGAGATGTCCACACCACGTTTTACCAAATTGGATTAGTAGGATCACTTAGATCTATTATAGATGCTGCTGCAGGTGGATCATTAATGTCAACGCCTTTTGATGAAGCTTGTTCTTCAATAGAGGAAATGGCTACTAATAATTTTCAAAGGCCCTCTGAACATATAAATCTAAAGAGAGTAACTAGTATTCATGATTCTAACACAATGTCTATTTTAGCATCTCAAATTGTTGTTTTATCAAAAAAGATTAATAAAATTAGAGTGAACTATTCTCAAATACCACGAGTGTTAGAGGAAAATTCACTAGGACAGATAATTGATACTCAATCATCTTATGAAACTATGAATGTTATAAATAATAGAAATAATAATCTCTATTCTAATTATTATAATCCTGGATGGAAAAATCACCCTAATTTTAGTTCGAATAATTATAACAATTGAGTGAACCCCACAGGAAATTCAAATAACCAAGGGAATCCTAACTATAGACTTTATTATCCTCCTGGATTTAACAATAACTTACAAGTTAAGGAGAAGAAGTTGACTATGGAAGAA